CCGGGACAGCTGCGGAACCTCAGCACCTCCTCAACTTTGGGGCAACCAGCCCAGAAACCCCAGGAACCACTCTCTGCCAGCAGTAACACCCGCTCACCTTCAGCTCCTCCTCTCCCTACCGCTTCCTTCCTCTCACCTGAGCAAGGGGAGGGCCCCGTCTCCCAAACAGCACCCGGCCCTCACACCATGCCTCCCGCTGAGCCTATGAGGGCTCCTGGGGGGCTGGAGGGTGGATCTGGGGAGGCAGCTGACACCTGCACGGAGCAGCTGTGCCTCATTGCAACCAGTGTGTCTCATTGCAACCCGCTCGCTGGCTCCAGCAGCTCCAGGCAGAGCTGCCGACTGCCTTGCGCTGATGGAGACCCACCCTTCCTCCCTCCTTCTCCAACCCACCACCCTGCAAGGTCACTCCAGCCCAACCCACCAGGCTGGAATTTCCAAAAACAGTCCTTCTCCCATTTTCCAGACCACATCTCCCAGCATTTAACCCCTCAGGGTGCAAACCATGCAAAGCCCCAAGTCTCAGCACTCCAGGGGAGACTGAGCCCTCTGGAAAAGGCGCTTACAGAGGCGGAGTGCACAGCTCTGGGAAAGATCTGCCCTTTAAAAGCTGCCTTGCAATGGCTGGAGAGCATCCTCGTGCAGCCGTGGCCGGGCTGAGGACAGTCCAGAGTGGGAAGTATCTTGCTAGAGAGCCTACACCTGATGCTAATTTCTCCCTCCTCCGTAGGGCTATAGGGATTGCTATAGGGGCACATGGACTAGGACCACGAAGGGTGGGTAGGGCAATAATGGCTTTGTTGCTCACTTAATTGCTCCTGAATGTAAGATCGGGTGCACCTTGGCCAGGTTCAGACTGGGAGGTACGTGGAAGGCACTGGTGTGTGGTGCTTATACAATTGTGCAACCTTGGACTGGGATCAGACTGGGACACGGGGACCTCTTGCACAGGCCAGCCCATGCTCCGGGGGCAAGCAGGGGAAGGTAGCATTTCCTACCAGGGCAGCACTGGTAGGACACAGCTAATGTCACCCACCCTCCTGCAAAATCCTCCAAGGCTGCTGCTGTGCCCTGCTGTATGCTGCAGGAAGCCTGGCCCACCCTCGGCACCCCTGGGTGCAGCCCTGAGGGCTCCGCAGACTTTCCCTCCCCTTCTCCCAGCCTCCAGCCCTCCCTGCCCTTCCCCTGCAGCACCAAGTCCCAGGGTGCGGGTACCCTGCACCTCGGCAGCCCCTACCCGTGGCCCCATATCCCCTCTCCTCCTCCATCATTAGGGAATTCTGCCTTTATGGTGGGTTTTTTGCCTTTTTTTATTTTTCCCCCTGACCTTAGGAAAGCTTTAGGACACAAAGAAGCACCGAGCATCATTTTACAGAGGCACCAGCAAAGTCCACAGTGAAGCCTTAACAAGACATAAAGGGAAGGAGTGGGTGGCCAAGCCCCAGGGGCTCCTCTGCCCTGCATTATCTCCAGTGGGATGAGAAAAGAGAGCATGGGTTGAAAGAAAAGCACAAAAAAGCAGAGACTTTAAGAAAATCTGAGGCTCTCCATATCTCAATGGGCCTGACAGCAGTGGGGAAGTGACGCAGGAATAGCCAGCTGGACTCAGGTGAGAAACTGAGGCGGTGGGGTTTTTTGTTCCCCAAGAAAGTGCACAGGCTCTCACCAGACCACGACTCCCCAAGGGCAGGGATGCGGCTGGTGTGGGCTCTGCCCCACGACTGCCCGACCCGCTGCGAAGGTGATTCCCCGGCACCCTCTGTGCTGAGTTTTGGAGTGACGCGGGTGGAGTGGCTGCGGCTCCTGGTCTGCACGAGAGCTGGTGGCACTTCGAGGATGAAGGCTTTTCTGCTGCTGCATGCGCGGGGCTCTCCCACCCATCACTCGTGGGGCTGACGTTGCTCCGTGAGAGCAGGGAAGTGCCAAAGCTGGAAGGTGGCTGCTTAGGACCTCTTTAGTCCCTGAGGAGAAGGGTCCAAACCACCCAAGTTGGTCACAGCTGATGGGCTGAGCTGCAGAAATGCCACAGCTCGTTCCCAGGTAAGCCCTGTTACCTCCTGTGCCTCGGTTTCCTCAGCTGTGCCACACTGGTGAGGTTGATGGCAGTGGGAGGCACGGAGATCCCCCCTGTGCCTGTACAGTGCCAAGCACAGCCTGGGCACGAGGTCCCAGACCCCATATGGGAACTTTCCTAAAGTCTCTGACACATCAGCTAAGGAAGCAA